TCCTGATGCTGCCAATTGGCCCAGTTGTGAGAATCTTTGTCTTCTTGACATTGAGCCTCAATCCATATTGGAGGCTGCAGTCCTTGACCCTCTGCAGTAAGCACTTCAGGTCCTCCTCAGTTTCTGCAAGCAGAGTTGTATCATCTGTATAACGCAGATTGTTGATAGAGCTTCCACCAATCCTGAAATCACACTTCTCCTCATAGAGCCCAGACTCTCGGATGATCTGTTCTGCATACAGGTTGAAAAGGTATGGAGATAGGACACGTGCCTGGCATACACCCTTCCCAATTTTGAACCATGCAGTGTTTCTTCACTCTGTTCTGACAACTGCCTTTTGGTCTCTAACCTGACAGGGAAAGGTAGAGGGTCAGGAAAAAAAGGAGAAAGACCTCAAAAAAGAAAGATTGACACAGTGACCCTACTAATGGGCTCCAGCATATTAGAGACTGTAAGAATTTTGTGGGGTACAGCAAGACTCAGATCTGTTGTTCATAGGGTCACTATGAATCTAAATCTACTTGGTGGACCACACACACAACTACTGCAGTAAGACATGCATTTACCACTCCAAATGAGTTTATACTAATACTGATTTTTATAATCTAAGTTGAACAGAAATTGTAGTAGTGTTTTAATAGCAAAGAAAAAGATTACATCATTTCTTTTTTTTGTTTTGTTTTGTTTTTAATAATTTTAATGAACATTTACAGAGAATTTGGATTTCCATTTATTCATTGCTGCACTTCTCTACCTGCCCAGCCCTCTCCCCCCAAGCCCCCAGTTCACTCCTCTCTTTCAAAACTGAAAGAAAGACTCCCTCCCTGGTACACAATCTCCCGACACCCCTCCCAACCACCCCAAGTACATTCCACTATGCAACCTTAATTTGGACTCTTGTGATAACCATAATACCCTATCATACATCACTTTTAAATTATTCAGTCCCTCATCTGTTTCAGTGCAGTATACACAATTTATGCTGTTTTTCTCAGTCTTACCCCCACCCTGATATCAGTCCCATTTTACAGCAGTGGCACTATGTAATATTTGTCCTTTTGTGACTGAGATATTTCACTCAGCATAATGTCCTCCAGGCTCACCCATTTTGAATAATTTTGAAGGAGTTCCTTGTTTTTCAATGCAGCATAGTATTCCATTGTGTGAATATACCACAGTTTCTCTATCCATTCATTTGTTGATGGGCACCTGGGTTGTTTCCATCTCCTTGCTATTGTGAACAGAGATGTGATAAACATGGGTGTGCATATATCTGCCTAGATGTCAGTTGCGGTCTCTTTGGGATATATTCCCAGTA